AAAATCATGTTTTCTGAAAAGAATCCCAGTCTATACTAAAGATTTCTTTTACATGTTTTATGCAGTCTATCAATTTATTTTTTACTAAAGGGAATAGCAAATGAAATTACCATTAGATCAGGTCTCCTACACTCCTGATCTTTTCACGAAGAGAACCATGCTTGGGCACTAATTTCTTTCTTTTTCTTCAAGATTTATTTGTGCATACAAAACTGGGGTACAGGTCAGAGGTGCAGGGGCCATGAGAGGATTCACCAGAGACAGAGTGGGGAGCAGAACAGACAGATGGACAAAGTACACTGCTGAGGGGAGCAGTGGGTGGGCCAGGAGAGGTCTGCTACGCCATGTGGGTCACCTCCTGGGTGGGGGAATCAAACTCATACTGAAGTGGCTTTAGCTTCTTAGTGCTGTGCTTTAACCCGCTGCGCCACCAGGGAGGGCTGATTGGGCACTAATTCTGCTTAGATGTCCTCCATCTGTTTTCACACTTCATTCCCTCCCTCAAATCAGTCTATTCCCCATCCCCACCCCCATTTCTTCTGGCAATGAAATCCATTTTTAACCCTTTTAGCCTCAAATAAGAAGTAAATGTTTAATAAAAGTTGGTTTGGGGGGCCCCCCTGGTGGCATAAGGGGTTAAGGCTCAGCACCATAACATCCGCAGCCACTGCAGCACGAGTTCAATCCCTGCCCCGGAGCTGACCCATATGGCGCGGCAGACCTCTCCTGTCTCACCTGCTGCTCCCTTCAGCAGTGTACTTCGTCAATCTGCCTGCTCTGCTCCGCACTCTGTCTCTGGTGAATCCTCTCACCTCCTGCACCTCTGGCCTACACTCCTGTTCTACTACATGCAAAATAATAACAACAAACCATGTATGTGCATTATTTTCATAAAAATTTAAAAAAAATACACGTGCTAGTGGATCAAGAGCAGGCATAGCAGTTGTTGTTGGCTGTGCCTACCATGTTCCAGTGCACTTTTGAATTCCTCAATTTAATTTGTGTAACTGTCACGAGTGAGCTAGTATGATTATTAATTGTCCTCATTTATCCCGAGTATTACTCATCCCCTTTTCCCCAGAAGAAACAAAATCTGAGTGATTATATTGTTGGGTTGAATCTCATGGCTGCAACCCATAGGCACCACCCACCAGCCCCCATCACCAGTAAAGAGCTATTTGGCTCTCAGTTCTGGATGGAAGGTCCTAGAAAAGGCTAGCAATAGAACAAGATGACTTCTACTTCCCAGCTGCTTGTTCCTTTTACTGTTTACACACAGGTCTCAGGATGATCACCCCATTTCCAGCCACCATTCCCCCAGCCCAATGTTGCTGAAATCTCTTCTGCTGGCATGGCAGTCCCCAAGGCTGAGAAAGACTAAAGCAGTACTTTCAAAGTCTCCTGCTTAATTATGCCTTCCCTGTGCATCACTAGGCAGGGAGCAGAACAAATGAAGCAAATGCACACTTCATGTGAGACCCTTGCTAGGTGGTGGATCCTCTCTCCTTTGAATGGTGCTTGTGCTCAGGGGAGCTGATGACTTTGATACCAGGAAAGACTACTAAGGTGCTAGACGGGACATATTTACTTTTTTCTTCCTCCAGTTTCCTGGTCTCCTGGACAGAAGACTGGTGGTTGTTGGGGAAGAATAGTTCCTTTGTGTTTTTTTTCCCTTTCTTCCTGGGCCTAATTAGGAATTATGCTTGGGAATCAAGCTAATTAATCTCTCCCCATCCAAGGTGAGAGCAAGGTCCTCACATTATCAGTGTTGATCAATAACTCACCTGCTGAAACACTCTGAAAAACAACCCACTTCTTTCAGCACTGGCTTTAATGAGAATGAAGCAGGATAGCCTGGGGGAGGCTGGGAATGAGTGGGTGTGGTGGCCCAGTAGTATCAGGAAGAGGGAAGAGGAAACTCCACTGTATCTTCCAGAGTGTGAGATGCTCCCACAGGCTGTTTCCCAATGCTTAAGCCCCTCTGAAGCCAGGCTGGAGCTTCATTACTATGCTGCTTTGGAACACCATCCACCCTCTCTGAGCTTCAAGGGTGGTCACTGGTAATACTTGTGAGAATGGAGAGATACCATCGTGCAAATGACAGACCAGTGGCCCTGCCATGGGCCTGCTCTCACTTTATCCCAACAAGGACCCACTGCCCAGGAGACAAGACAGGCTTGCAGGAAAGGGGGCTTATAAAGAACAGGGAAATGGAAGAAGGCAACAACTCTCATAGGCGAGTAAGAGAGAGAGGAAGGGAATACGTCCCCCTGGGAGTAGGGGAGAAAGTGTCTCTTTCAAATTTCTAAAGGATTCATGCTCTTTTGGGGGGATTCTCACGGCTGAGGCTGATTAAAAGTTCCAAGAAAGAAACAAATATGATCCTTTCCTCCAGAGGGGGACAATGTGGTTGCTTTTCTTTCTTTCTTTCTTTTTAAAGGATTTGTTTGTTTATGCATACAAGAACTGGGATATAGGTCAGAGGCCCCTGCTTTTCTTTCTAAGGAAACTTGAAACTTTCAAGAAACTAGAGGGAAAAAGTGGTAAACGAGAACGTGGTGTTAAAGGAGTCCAGGATAGATTTAAAAACTTTGGAAGAACCTAGTGTCCACCATATCAAATTATTAAAAACAATCTAAAATTCCATATTAAGTAGTAATTTTACTTTGCTAAAATAAAATGTAAGATGATTTTTTAATAGTTTTTGAAATTATCATTGTTGCAGTTTCTAAACTTTTGGTACCATTATAATTTTTTAGGTGCATTTTCATTGACTTTATTCATTGGAGGTCTTGGGCCTGTGCTTTCAGTGCATAAGGATAAAATACCAGAGGTCTCCAAAGAGCCTGAGGGACAGATGCTGTCTAATGGAACACTGGTAGTACACAGCACCAACTACCAACAGGATAACCTGATAGTACACAGCACCAACTCCTATCAGTTTTAGGAAAAGACTGAGGTGTTAGCCGAAGAGAAAGAAAAACCCTCTCAGGTTGTCTTCCAGGATAACTTATAAAAGATGAAAAGAGGCCCTCCCTGGTGGCACAGCTGATTAAAGCATAGCACAAAGAAGCTAAAGCCACTTCCACATAAGTTCGATCCCACCTGCCCCGGAGGTGACCCACATGGCGCCCCAGACCTCTCCTGATCCGCCTGCTGCTCCCCTCAGCAGTGTACTTGGTCGATCTGCCTGTTCTGCTCCCCACTCTGTCCCTGGTGAATCCTCTCACCCTCTGCATCTCTGGCCTGTACCCCAGTTCTGTACAAACAAATAAATCTTAAAAAAAAAAAATTCTAGAAAAAGATTATAGGGGAGATAGTTCTACTTTGTATACCTGCTCTCATAAAAGGGAGAGTGAAACGCTCCTGGGGCTGCAGGTCTCATAGAATCAAACCAAATTTCCAACCCAGTGACCACAGGCTCTAGGCCATCTACTGACCAGTAGGCAGGGACTACATAATGTCCTGTGAAGAACACCAGAATACCAACCACCACAACCTTAGGGAATTGGACCCAGATCAAAGCCCATGGAAGTGGAGAAGTGGGATTCATTCTTCCTGATAATGTGTGTGCATTTGACTGTGGAGTACCAGGGGAGAAGTACTGCTAGTTTGGAATACTATTCCATCAGTTCAGGACCACTATCATAACAGCTACTGTACACAATCCTTATGTTTTGTTCGGTAAGCTTTGTAGGAAGTTATCTAGTTGTGGAGGCCACAGAAGTGCTCTTCTGGGGTGTTATTTTAAAAGGTAATCTTGGGGGTGGAGGTAGAGGGGTGCACTTGGTTGTCAGCTCCAGGTGTAGCACCTTTGTAAGTGAGGCCCCCAGGTAACACCCAATGACTGACCACCATAGGAACATTAATTACAATCTTGCCATTTCTGCCCAACATACCTCCTGAATGGGTCATTCTTCCTGGACCCCACTGGGCCACCCAGGATTTTTCAAAGGTGCAATGCAACAGTCAGAGACTCCCCTATTGAATCCTTCTTCCTTCTCCCCTTTTTCAGATGTTAGACCTGCCTTGTAGACTGTAGACTATCCTGACTATTATTGTTTCCCTCAGGGACTATCCTCCAATAAATCCTTTGCACTTGTAGTGCCATTTTGGCATCTGCTTCCTGAGGATGCAAACTGATACAGCTGTCTAGTGATGTAACTGAGCTGCCCAGTGATGTAACTTTTGGCTCATTTTTCCTGAAATGTGAAGATTTAAAAAAATTTTTCTCATGGGGGAATTGAAAATAAATGCTTCACTGGATTGCCTCAAAGGCAGATTCCTGCAAAGGAATCTAGTTTCAAGCACCTCTCATGGGATCACTCAAGAGAAACAACCCTGGAAATTGGTCATAAGCAGAGTTACTATATATTTAAAAAATATTTATTGAGTAATTATGTGACAGGAACCATGGTAAGAGATTTCCATATACTGTCCCTCTCAATACACAATTCTAATACATATCTCCATTTTTCAGATAAGGAAATGGAGCTAATTAGATGTCCAGTTGAACAGAGGACTGATGTCAAAAAGCCCATGCCCTTCAACCTTTCACACACACAACATAATTATATTTAAAGTGAATTTCCAGGTAAGAAAAAAACAAAACAAACAACTATAGAAGAGAAAAATGGGAAAGAAATGTAGTAGATAAAAATGAAGCCACTGAATAGAACTGGCTTAAACACCTGTAGAGAAAAAGCAAGATTTTGTAGATAAGTTTTAGAGTTTAGAGCTACACGTTCCTGGAGACATACAACTTCTCTAAGCCTCAGTCCTTTGCTTTTTGTTTGTTTTTAAAAAGATTTATTTATAAATACAAGAGTTGGGGTGTGGGCCAGAGGGTTGGAGAAGGGGTGGAAGGATTCACCAGAGACAGAGTGGGGAGCAAAGCAGGCAGATCCACTGGAATACACTGCTGAGGGGAAGCAGTGGGCAGACAGGAGGGGTCTGCTGTGCCATGTGGGTCACCTCCCTGGCTGGGGATTGAACTCCCGCTGCAGTGGCTGCAGATAGTTTCATACTTGAGCTTATCATTTTGTATAGAGAAACGAAACATTTTTTAAAACCGAATCCCACATGAAGTAAAATGATCTGTTGGGCTCCCAGTCTGAACATTTCATAATTCGCCAAGAGAAGCAATTTGTCAGGATCCCAAAAATAACCATGCATATCAGACAGGCCCTGCAGATGAACTTCAGGCTCTTGCTCCAGGGATAATCACTGCGCAAACTTTTGGTGGTCATGGGGAGAAGGGTGGGTGTGTGTGAAAACTGGGATGAAAGCAGAACTTTTCTATAGGAAAACAGTAAATACCATTCTCTAATTATGACGCAGGCTTTATGTGTGTAAGAGGAGAGAGAAAAGGGACATAAAACACAAAAAAGTGGTTTGAAGAACATTAATTTGAAAAGTCCATTTGAATCTTTTCAAGATCTGCAAATGAGTAGACTTTTAACTACTACATCACCGTTTGGTCAATCTTCAGGGGAAAGGCTAAAAGGTCACTGTCAGTAGAGAGGACAAGAGGAGAAAAAAAAAAAAAAAAACAAGCAAGAAAAGCTATAGCTTGGATTATCCATTCAGTTCTACAAGCCCGATTCTGTCCTGACTGGTTCTCAGATAACATCTTAGATAATGTGAAAAGCAGCGTGGGCATTAAAACTTTTCAACATGTGAAGGTGATAAATGTGTTAACTGACCTTACTGGGGCAATCATTTCACAATATAGGTCATATTGTTACTGGTACACCTTATAAACTTATATAATGTTATATGTCAATTATATAGCAATAAAGTTGGGGAGGGGTGGCTGGAAGAGAAGAAATGCAAGGGGCAGGCATTTCTTAGATGGAGAAAAGGAAAAATAAGCTACTCTGAGAGAGGAATGTAAAAAACTCACTAGTTTACTATGTTAAAAAAAGATGGCACATTTATTGCTACATAAATGTTATATACATATTGTGTTTTCTGTTACAGTGACAGAAAAAACTTTGAACTTCTTGCTGCTGGTTGAAAAGGTTTATCAATAATACCTTGAATTTGACACAGGATACAAATCTGCAATAAACCAACAATGGGAACTGGAGAACAAGATGAGAAGCAATTCATCTCGGACAATTAGCTCTTACAATACTCCATAGGTACTACACGGTATGCTAGAATCCTACTATGGTCTTAAAATGCTATTGTAAATTTCTGATATTAATGAACAGGTTATGGTAAATAACCCTACATTTTTACTACCTAATATAATAAAATAAAGTAAGAAACTTTTTACTGAAAACTTTTCGATTTCAAAAATCTAGAAAGAGTAATATTTAGAATTCAAGAAATTTTCTTACAAGATTATTGTATAAAAGACTAGCTACAGTGAAAAATAAGCCAAATGTTTTTTTCTTTCTATTTTATGAAGGAAAGCTTCTGGGCATACTGCAAAGTCTAATATAGCGAAAAAGACAACAAGCTCTGAAGAAAAAAGGCCAGGCAGTGGCATATGTTCACTCACACATCATAAGCAACAACTTCTGTTTAGCTGATTAACACTGAAATGAAGAACAAGGCCACAGATAGAGTCTGATGTAATTGGAGAATGTATGCAAATTAAAGTAACCAAAAAGTCCACTAAGCTTACAAAAGACTGATTTGTTAGGAATCATCCTGATTGGAGGATGTGAAGTTTTATCTTATTTATTTTTGTTCTTTTAAATTAACAGAAATCTCTAAGTTACATAGTGATTTGGGTCCTTTCTTCTGTGTGCTGATTGCCATTGTTGATAGTGGCTATAAGGAATTATCAAGCCAAGACAACCTTTGTTTAGCATGTTTTTCTCTTCCAGGGTTATTGTGCTGGAAGACAGATTTCATGGAAGTTCAAAGTGATTACTATATCTTAAAAAATAACTCTTAAGGATTAGAGACAGAGGGTGCCTTAATGCACAGTATGAAGATGGACTGACCAAGTACTGGTTTAATGCTAATCTGGCTCATCTTCTTGGGACAAGGGCAGATGGTTTGCGGTTGATTAAATCATCCACTGAATTCCTCCCCACTGACCTACGATCCCAAGGACAGAGTAATAAAGGCTAGGATAAGGAAACAAGGGTGACCATTGCTCTTGTATTCCATTAGATGATTAGCCTCAGGGTAGTATGGTGATTTATCACTCTACCTGCCTTGGTGACCACTTGCCTTTTGTTACTTTACGTTCATTATAATCATAGCCTGAACTCCTCTTTGTATTTTAAATCCAGTTTGTGCTTACTTACAGCTAACACTTTACAAGTACTATATGTAGTACTACTACTATATGTAGTACTTGTTGCATGGAAAACAAAGCAATTTCTAAAAAGTAGATTCTTTCTTTGCAATTTACACTTCTTGCTATTATAAATTTTACTATGAGACCTAGAAGCTTGAAAGTCTTGGTTGTTACTAGAAATAAAGCAATGTTTATTTTGGGGAAAATGTGGGAACAAAATTTCCCCTTTTAAAATCTCAGCTAGGCTCTGGTCACAGATGGTCTCTGCTGATCTTTGTAAGGTAAATACGCAAAGTACAGTGGGCTATGTGAAGGATTCTGGACTGTGACCACAAACTATTCAGATTCAGAAACCAAATATAACACCCACAAAGAGAAAATAAAAATGAAATAAAAAAAATGAGAGAAATGCTCTACTAAGTAATATTTTCCTATTTTATGGAAAACACTATTCATATGGCAAAAGGATAGGAGAGGGCAACAAAAGACTTTTCCCTTCCTTTTTAAGACACTAATTAGGTATGCCAGGAATGCTAAGGGCCAATGGTTGTCACTGCTTTGTTCTCTGTATGTGAACATCTTTATGAATGCTGGCATCAGCTGAGTGTAGATCAGCTTTCCACATTAACTTTTTCCCTTTATATGTAGACCTTACAGTTCCATAACAATAAATAAAATTTGTAGTTACAATGCATTTGTCAATTCAGTTTAGGCACAAGGCAACTTCCACTGTGAGTGGAGAGATCAAGACAGTCTCTGATTGTGCAGAAGCGACACACTGCTTGCAACAAAATGTTATGTCGCAAACATCTTGTGGGCTGACGTTCTATCTGATGAGTGTCCTATCTTCACTTCTGATGGAAGTGCTGACCAGTTGCTTTGATCGTAGGATTACATTTGAGTTTCTTACTTCAAGTGTTTTCTTTTTTCTTCTCCCTCCTACTAGGTTTGTGTCTTCAGATAATCTGAGTTGTCCAAGTCCTTATGAGGAGAGGTCACCTTCTATCTAGCCTATTGGTAACTCTGAACTGTGATGGGGAGAACCAAGGGAGAGAACAGAACCAATTAGGACATCATTGTTAAAAATACACACTTTCCTAAAAAGGAACAAAACATAAATTGGTATTCCTCATTTATACCAAGGTTCACCTTAAATTAGTAGTCTGCTAAAAAACTTGTAACATACACATTTACTGCTGCATCCAGTGAACCACACTGTTAACAGCTTTATCTACTTCTTCTAAACTAAAGATTTCTCAAGGCAGATACCTTTTGCATTTACTGATCTACCTTAGGTCCTTTTAAATACTTGATCAATGAATTCTACTCTCAGTACAAATTTTATAGATATTTATACTCTCAATATACATAGTAGTAACTGACAATTTCCATTTAAATGAAAATAGTTTTAGAAGAAACACACCTTTAACATCTTTACAAAACAACAGCCACAGTATTGTTTTATAATACAGAGATCTTGGGACAGATAACAGATATTCAAGCTAACTGGCCTTATATTACATTCTGGCAAATTCTTGTGTTTTTTATACCAGTAATCCTGTGGTAACGTATCAGTTGTTTTGATTCTAGCAACAGGTTTCCTGCTGCCCAGTCTCTTGATGGTTTTAATCTATTATCCAGATCCAAAGAGAATTGAAGGTCATCAGGTGAAACCAGATGGAACAATGTGCATTTACTACATTTTTTGGAACACTGCATTTTCTTTTAGAGAATTTTTCTTTGATAGGCAAGAATATTCCAAGTTTAATTTTAACCTAAGTGGAAGAATTACTACATTATAGACATAAGGGCAGAGGTAAAGGTATCAAAGTAGTATGAGATATGACATCAGTAAAAGGACAGGAAGTCAACAGAAGGAAGCAGTGAAGCAGGGAAAGAAAGTTGAAGGAGAAAGAGCTAGCCAGAAATTTGAGAGAGAACTAGTAACACAACAAACTAGAGAGGGGCATCTTTATACATTATTGCTTTTAATCTAATGATGAAACTGGAAAAAGATCTACACACTGAAGGCAGATATAAAAATGAAGTTACCAGTTCTATTTTTAATCCATGTTGCCAGCTAAATGCTAGTGCCCCAAATATTTAATAACAGTCTGTATTTTATTTAACTGTATTTAGTATCTTCCACTTACATATTCACTTCAGGAAAAATATGAATGGATATAGTTAAGAAAAATGATTCAAATTATCTACTACTATTTGGACAACAATCTATCTCCCATTACTTGTGTCATTTTGTTAAAATCATAAGGATGTGAATTGTGTTGTCTATGATGAGGAAGGTAAAATGAACAGTCTCACAGCATGATAAATTATTGACAGAAGGGAATTATGCTTACAACAGTTTTACATTCATTCACAGATTTAGAGTGTACAACTGATGTGCTTACAAAGGGAAGTTGTAAGCACATTACAAACTTACATTATCGATGCAAATGGAAGGAAGAAAAACCTCTGGAAGATATAGATGGTTAGCAGAAAACTGGTTGTTGATAAAGACAAAAATTTCTGAGTGTAGGAATTAGGAGCAAGATTGGTAAAGTATTTTCTGATGGCTGAGTCAATGTACTGTTTATTTCTTGGATCAGTATGACACACATGTGAGATAGTATACATGATAATCCAAAGTAGGAAAGTCTAAAATTCTTTATAAATCACAAGGTCTTATCTTAAACTCAATTTAAGATGAATCAGGTGATTTCCTTATACTTTCTTTTCACACCCATACTCACCTGGCTGATGTTTACATATGACCCATAGGGTTGGTAGTTTCACTAAGCCCAGGAAGGGTTCCTGGCAGCGTGGTTGGTGGCTCTGCCGATACGGCAGAAACTTTTTCTTCTTCCCTTCTCTTAAGGCAGGCTGCTTTGGGGTTAAGGTTCCTCTCTGAAATAGGGGAAAATAATTTTTTCATTATGGTCATGGTGATGAATCAGGGACTTTAAAGTCTTAAAGAGAACAAATTACTGCCTTTTTTTTTTTAAACATCTTTTAATTTTTCTAACTGGGAATTACTGACTAATCTCTGTGCAATTTCCTTCTCATACTGAATATTCCACAGTGGCAATAGTGATGTATCACATAAAACCTACATCACCATCTAAAAGCAGTTCTTTTGTTGTTTTACCCAAAGCATTCGGAAAGTGCTGTTACTAATCTGCTATGTCTTCTTATGTTACGGTATGCTGAACTGGTATGAATGTTAACATTCTCTATGTACCTAGAGAGGGGCATATGTGCTTTATCCAGGGTTTTACCACTTTGGAAAATGACAAAATAACAGATACCCTCAATTATTCTTCTATAGGAAATGTGCCATCTCCTCAAGAGAAACAGGTACTGGTTGCATATACGACTTTTTCTACTTGATGCATCTATAGAATGAGATGATTGAACTGTTCTTTGTTGTTGAAAATATGACTGAGAGAGTGATTTGAACTTTCTCTGTTCTTTTGTATATGAGGTATTGCATACAAGACTGAAAATTTTCAATGTGGACATTTTCAAAGAGGCTAAATCGTGGGGTCTTACCATGTGAAAAAAGGCTAAAAATAATTCACTGGATTGAAGACATACTGGAACACACTTAGACCTATTGTTCCTGTTGTTTTGGTTAAATGAGTTTTTGCAGAAGTTATCAACTGTTGATAGCTCCTGGTGTAATCTTTTGTTTTTGATTATAACACATCACATAAACTAAAAGGTGTTACATGTAGTTTTGAGAACTGATTAAGCACTCACTTCTGAGTTAAAAAAAGTAGACAAAAGATTTTATTTTGGTAAACTTAGCTGACTATTGACTACTACACAGGTATGTTATTTTACAGTTGTTTTCAATGCCTCTGCATTTAGAAAAAAGACAAAATATATACAGCTATGAGGAGTATTGATAAAATAATAAAGGTAAAAAAAAGGAATAAAGGCACACTCCTAATTTATTAAGATAACAAGTAGGAGAAAAGGACATATTCTACATTATGTAAAAATTTAGGGCCTGCTTTTTCAACAGTTATGCAACTTTCATTAATAAGTCTGAGATTAGATGCCATACCATTTTACTGTGGAGATAACAATCTCACTTAGTGATCAGAGAGACTGAAAAGATGGCAGAAATTATGTAAAATATAAAGAGGACAACATGAGATTTTAAAGTTTCCAACTGAAACAAGCTCACATTTCTATTAAAATGAACACTACTCTTAGCTAACTATAACCCTGTGTCATAGTAGGCTCTAGGATGCATGATCAGAACAGATGGGAGGGACCAGAAGCAAATCCTTAAGTTAGGAAAGATCATACAGACTCCTACAATCAGGGTTGGGAGAACCATGAGCAAACTCTAGAAAGCACATGAGCTCTAGCCAAAGAAGGCAAAAGCTAGTACTATTGTTTCAAAATTCCTATTTTAAAATAAATTGAGAAGCTGGGAAGCCTTATGCAGATGGTAAATATAAGTCAGACATAACATCAGGGCTTGAGAAATGGCTTAATTATCTTCCCACACTTCCATTAGGGGGACTGATCTATTGAGTTCTGTATATAGTTGGGTCAGTTCTCTTATAATACCACCTTAACACATTTATAGCACAGTTTTTGGCTAACTCATTTGTTACTCCTTACAATAGGTAATTATTTGTTGTTATAACTGTGTGGACACACATGGGTCAAAAATTTCAGTGACTGTGTACATGCTCATATCACTGTTTGTTTTTCCTGTAGTTACTTTGTTTTTTTTCCACTGCAAATACAATCCTCCATGCTCCATGAGATTTAACAGAAAGCCTATCAATATATTTCCTAAAATCTTAAACATATCATCTATTAATTCTATTTTCTTTCTCTGCAAACCTTTCTTCAGAAGCTAATAGAGAGACTTCTGTTTTCAATGTGGACTAGCTGTTCTTTAGGACTAATTGTTGTCATAGGGTTTCCCTTTGCTGCTTTCTTGTGTTTGATCCTTGTTTCCTGGATGCACAAATCTATTTTTTGTTGATTATGTCATTATTTTGGTTACAGCACATATTTCAAATGCTTTCTTAGAAAGTATAGATGAGAGGTAAAATTTAAAGTCTTTGCATTGCTGAAATATCTTTATCTTATCTTTACCTGTGACTAATGATTTTGCTAGACAGGTGTGGGTTCCACTATTCAGCAGTATACCTCACCCACTCTCATTTATGTGTTTCAGATTTGTAGTCTTTCTAACTTCATCTATTACTCGGAAAATAATCCTAGCTCTTGTTGCAGAAGAGAGAGCAGAGCATTATGAAATAGAAAGAAGAACTAAGAATCCAACCTTCAGCCAATTTTCCTGTTTTGTGACTAGGATTTTGCTAGACATCTGCTAATGATTTTTCAACCTAGGTTGAAAGTCATTTTTCCTTAGAATTTTGGAGGCACTGTTCTACTGTCTCCTAGCCTCAGCACTACATATTCAGAACTCTGATGATATATTGAATCTTGTCCCTTTGTTTATACTTAAGTTTTGTCTCTAGAAGCTTAAGGAAATCCTTTTTTAAGCTGATACTATGAAATTTGATGATGATATAATTTTAGCTTGGGAGCATTTTTTAAATTATTACTTTTAGCATAAGATTATAGCCAAGCAGTTTAAGACATGTATTCTTCAGTACTGGTAAGTTACCTGCAGTATTGTAGTGATAATCTCTTTCCCTCCCTTTTTACTCAGTAATCCTACTGATCAGATCTTAACTTCCCAGATTGATTCTAGTTTTATTTGTATATCTCCAGTTTTCATCTATGTTCTATTTTCTAGGAAATTTTTTTCAGCTTTATTTATTCTGCTATCCCACTAGCTGACTTTTTTCTTCAGGACTTCATTTCTCTTTTGTGCACATATTTTCTCTTATTAGAAGTTATTACTTATTTAAAAAAAAAACTCATCTTTTGCTTTTTGCAGATCTTTTTAAATTTAGTTTGATCTTAGTTTCCCTCTTTCATGGAGGCTCTTCTTCAATCTCTGGTTGTACAGGATACTTACAGACATCGTTGCATCATTGCAAGGGTGTTTCTCAAGGTAATACAACAATAAGACACTGTTATTAAAAAAATTCCTTTTTTCTAGAGAAATTTCCTTGAGGATGAGGTTAAAAGCAAGACCCCAGAGCTGTGGGTTCCACTTATTCAGCAGTATACCTCACCCACTCTCATTTTAGTGTTTCAGAGTTGTAGTCTTTCTAATTTCATCTATTATCCAGAAAATAATCCTAGCTCTTGTTGCAGAAGAGAGGGCAGAGCATTATGAAATAGAAAGAAGAACTAAGAATCCAACCTTCAATCAGTTTTCCTGTTTTTTTAAGATTTTATTTATTTATTAGTATGGCAACTGGGATACAGGCCAGAGGGGTGTATGTTTTGTGTGTGTGTGTGTGTGTGTGTGTGTAGGTGATTCACCAGAGAGAGTGGGAGACACTGCCGAGGGGAGCAGCGGGCAGGACATGTCGTGCCACATGTGGGTCACCTCCCCGGCCTGGTATCGAACTTGTGCTGCAGTTGCTGCGACAGTTTGAAAGTGCTGCGCTTTCACCCACTGCACCACCAGGGAGGCCCAGCTTTCCTGTTTTTAGGTCATATGCCTGACTTCTGCTTTTGACAATAACCAGTAACTCCAAAGTGCAGAATGTCTGCCCACTTGAGACAGAAAAAATGTGTACCTCTACTGAGCATACTTACCTCGGACTTGCTGTTCTAGACTAAGGATGACTGCCACGGCCTGATGAAGAATAAGGAGCTTTGTTTGGGGTTTTTCACTCTTTAAGTGAAGCTGACACATTCGACCAAGCTCTTTGAATGCCTCATTAATATCCCGCACACGCAAGCGTTCTCTGGCATTGTTAGCCATCCGCCTTTCTTTCTCCCTTTCTATCTTCTGTTCTGGGTTCAAATCCTCATCTTCATTAGTACTGCTAAAAACAAAGTAACAACAACAACAATTCTCTTAGTCTTTTAGGTTCCCTATGCAGTAAGATATACCTATTATACAAAATTTTAAAATATAAAAGATGGAAATAATAATCTATAAATTTTATTAAGCAGTAGTAACAGCTACACTTACATGATTATGTATTTCTTTCCAGCCTTTCTTCAATACATAAAAATAGTTAAGAGTTGAAATACCACACACATTTTGAATTCCATTTTTCATTGTATAATATGGTATAAAATGTTGCCAAACTTATGAAACTTAAAAAAAAAAAAGATTTATTTATTTATGCATACAAGAACTGGGTGTGAGCCAGAGGTGTGGAGGGTGAAAGGATTGACTAGAGACAGTGGAGGCAGAATAGGCAAGGCAGAAGAGGTCTGCTGGACCATCTGGGTCAGCTTCCTGGCCAGCTGGGGATCAAACTCATGCTTACACTAGATGGCAATAGCTTGATAGTGTTGTCTTTAACCCTTGCATCCACCAGGGAGGACCTCAATAAAATTTCACTAACATAATTTGAATAACTCTATGGTATTCTAGCATCTTGCTAATCATAATGTGATCATAGCCGTTAGTATTTTTTGGAGCTTGTTAAAAACATAAAAATCTTGGGGGGGCCCTCCCTGGTGGCGCAGCGGGTTAAAGCACTGCACTGAGAAGCTGAAGCCACTTCCGAATGAGCTCAAATCCCGCCTGCCCCGGAGGAGACCACATGGCGAGGCAGAGCTCTCCTGACCCACCCGCTGCTCCCCTCAGCAGTGTACTTCGTCGATCTGCCTGTTCTGCTCCCCACTCTGTCTCTGGTGAAGCCTCTCACCGCCCCTGAGCCTCTGGCCTGTACCCCAGTTCTGTATGCACAAATAAATAAATCTTAAAAAAAAAAAATCTTGGGGGGGGTGGAGTGAGGAATGGGACCACAAATGGAGGGGTGGGGGAGTGCACTGGATTATAGTGATGGCACACGGATGATATGGTGATGGGAAGCCCATGGGGATTACAACTGAGATGGAAAAAGGCACAAAATAATTTAAAAATAATAAAAAAACCCCATGAAATCTCAGGTTCTACTGAAACTTACTTAAAAGCTACATTTTGACAAATGCCCCAGTTGGTTCACATGTACATTAAGGTTTGAAAAGCACTATCCTACTATACAAATGTATTATAAATTGCTTAACCTGTCTCTTAAATGTAGTTTGGCATTTATCTAGTGAGAAAATATAAGAAAAAATTTAGAGGGCCTCCCTGGTGGCACAAGGTATTACATCTCAGCACTATAAAGCTACCTGCAGTCACTGCAGCACAAGTTCTATCCCCAGCCAGGGGGCTGATCCACATGGCACAGCAGACCTCTCCTATCTTGCCCACTGCTCTCCTTAGCAGTGATTTCAATGAACTGCATGTTCTGCTTCCCACTCTGTCTCTGGTGAATCCTCTCATTTCCATACCTCCCTACACCTACACCCTAGTTGTTCTATGTAAAAATAAATAAAAATTAAAAAACAAACAAACAACAAGTTCACAGCAGAGTCTTACAAGAATTACAGAAAAGTATTACTCTTTTGATAATTGAGAATTGGCAGCTCTTTGACTTCAAAAGAACCTTTCTAGATTATATAGCCCAAAGGTTTCCAAATGTGGCTACTCATCAGAATCTTTGGGAACACTTAAGAAATATAGTTTTAAAGGTTTTACTGTCAGAGAGGATGATTTATTGAGTACAGTCTAGGGCTTAAGACACCTGTATCTGTAAAATGTCAAGTATCTGTTCAGCAAAGGTTAAAACCACTCCAAAATTCAGAAAAAACAATGACTTCAATAGGATTACATAACTGATTAGTGGCAATATAATAAGATCCAAAGTTAGTGCTCCACAGAGGCAAATCTATACCACACACATGGAATTACCATCATAAAAGTAACCTTAGTATCTTTACTGAAGGTCAACAAATTTTTCTGTAAACGACCAGAGTAAATATTTTCAGCTTGTGGGTCATCTGGTCTCTGTTGAAACTATACAAATCACTGCAATGTGAAAGCAGGGACAAACAATATGTAAACAGATGGGGCATGGCAGTATTTTAGTAAAACTTTGCTAAAAAAAGTACAGTGACCTGGATTTGGCTGATGGGTGATAGCTGGTGATCCCTGATTTAAACCATACAATAGAGACTTACCATATACTTAGCCTTAAGTTAATATACTAAAAATATTTATTTATGGAATGTATCTAAATGTCCACATAGCATAATTTAAGTAGTTTTAGTTATTTTGTCCTCAAAAGATTTTACAGACTATAAGCAGTGAAGGGGGAGATGTAATTCTTTTCTTTTTAAACCCTAAAAAAGTGTGGTATAATAGAAAACATAATTTTGGAGTCATGCTTATATGCTTCTCTTTTACAGAAGCTGTGATAGTTAATGTGAGTGTTAAACACATAAAGTCCCAAGACAATTATCTAGAATACAGTTACCAATAAATACCTTACAATTTTCCAACTGTTTTTACCCATGACAAATGAATGCACTATACTCCCTGATTGTTAACAAATACCTTGTTCTGCCTCTAGATGAAACCTTGATATCCTTCTGGGATGATTCATCATCTGACTTCATGTCATCTGATGAAGGGGGTTCATGAAGGTTTTCATCTTTCTCTTTGTTTTCAGTCTTGATTTCTGTTGGAACAACAGTTCCAGACTGACTTTGCAAGCCACCTAACAAAGAGGGAAAAAATATATAAAAATAGAATTAGAATTCAGAATGTAAAAAGCTTTCTAGGTGGTCAATTACCTTAGTTGTTATAAGCTATGAAAAAATCTGAAGATGTATTAAAGTATAATGTTTGGAACCTGGACAGAACATGTCCACAAAACTTAGGAAAAGTGACATTGAAAGGATCTGTATTTAAAAGAATGAGCTTGACCCAGATGATCAGTTTAATGTTCACTTTCAGACACCATCTGATACAACTGAACATGTTATGAGAAACTTAATATATTTTAGAAACTGACTTCTAAGATCTGCTATGTTAAAGGAAATAAGCTTTAAAAGCTATCTGAATAAACACAATAAAACAGGTGTATAGTTAAATATAAATGGGAGAGAGAATATTTACTTTGGTGGTCTTAGGATCAGCTATATACTTGTGTTTATTTAGAAGTTCTATTCTGTGACATTGATCACAGTATGATTTTTATCAGAATTATCTAATTAAATGATTTTGTAAACAATAGCTACTATCATTCAAAATGACAATACATAGTTAAGTCCTCACTTGGATGAATTCTTGGAGAGAGCAATTTTGAGCAAAATGCCATAACAAAGCTAATTTTACATTAGTTAATTGGTACTAGAGAGTTAAGTGCCTAGTGCATATTTCTGGTCACAAAACCATTATTCAACATCTAAATAAACCTCCTAAACTCTTCTAAACTTAAAATATTTTATATTCATTCAATCCTTCATTTTTTGATCCATTTATTCTGGTTCTGGGTTATAGGTGGCCAGAGTTCAAAATTCAAGGCATGATCTAACCTGGATAGGATGTCTTCCAGTTGTGGGGTGCACTTACACACATACCCTCTCTCACTCAAACAGACAATTTAAACATTTCCCCAGTTAACCTAACATGCGCATCTTTGGGCTGTGGGAAGAAACTGGAGATCCCACAGAAAATCCATGCAGACATGGGGACAACATGCAAATGCCATACAAACAAGTGGCCCCAAGTGGGAATCAGTTTTTTTCTCCCTTCATTAACGTTATAACAAATTGACATTACTGGAAGATCTGCTATGCCCAGAAATATTTTTTACTGCCTCTAGGGACCACAAAGATAAAGTTACCAGAGAAAGCTGCTAAGGAAGAGTGGCATGATAGTAGGTAAGATGACCGGTAAATACTAAATAATAGCTTCACATGGTGTGAACCACCGTAAGTATCTAACTCACCCATCCAAAGGGCCATTGAAACTTTTAATTCTAGAATTTCCTCACCTAAAATGAGTTTTGACTAAAAGATGTCAATCTGCCTGTGAGAAAGATATAGTGCTGAAAACCAACAAAATAGTTACCTCTATAATTTTCTTGTGTTTTATGATTTAAGTCTGTGCTTGAAGCAGTGACTGTACTAGAGAGCACAGAATGATTGCCATTAAGACTGACAGAATCTTCTCGATGAGTGCCAACCTAAAGTTAAAAAACAAAAGCAGTCAAAATAGTTCAGAGGCAACAATGTTAAAGTTTTTTTACTGAGCTTAATAAAGATTTTCACTCATTTTTATTTAGCAACTATTTTTCGATGCTAATTTTCTGCTTATGTAGAATTTCAAAAGACATGATGGCTTTGAATCAAAATGATAAAATTTTAACTTTCAAATTTCATATTCCTCAAAGAACTATTAGGACCACCAAATGTGTAAACAGAGATAACGCACTCAAAAAAGTCATAAAACACTATACATTACAGGCACCATTAAGAATCCTTAGATTCTCTACATACTACCTAAACATATACTGTTAAACTATATTAACAAACAACACTATATATTTCTTTAAAGATTTATTTATGCATACAAGAGCTGGGGTGTAGGCCACAGTTGTGGGGCCTGGGGGTGACAGAATTCACCAGAGACAGAGTGGGGAGAAGATCAGGCAGAGTGACAGAAATACACTGCTGAGGGGAGCAGCCGGCAAAATAGGAGAGGTCTGCTGCTCTCTCTACATGGGTTAGCTGCCTGCCTGGGCTGGGATTGAACTTCTGCTTCAGTGGTTGCTTGAGTTCAGTGGCTCCTGATTGCTTCATAGTGCTGAGACTTAACCCCTTGTACCACCAAGGAGGCCCCCAAATAATGCTGTATTAACTTAACAAAATAATGCTATCTTCTAAGTAATAATATGTTTATACTTTGGTATACCACAATGCCTTTGATTTCTTTCTCTGCTTCCCCTCAAAAAAAAAATTTTTTTTAAAAGAAAGATTTACTTATGCATACAAAACTGGGGTACAGGCAGAACTGCAGGGCAGTGAGAGGATTCACCAGAGACAGGGAGGGGAGCAAAACAGGCAGACTGAAAATTACACTGCTAAGGGGGGCAGTGGGCGAGACAGCAGAGGTCTGCTTGTGCCATGTGGGTCACCTCCAGGGCAGGGGATCAAACTTGCATGGAAATGGTTGCAGCCAGCTTTGCAGTGCTGTGCTTTAATCCGTTGCGCCACCAGAGAGGGCCCTCCCCTCAAAAATTTTAAAAGGCCAGCAAAATCAACACAAAATTAAAATAACTTATTAACAAAAGTTTTGCATTGCCAGATGACAAAAAAAAATGCCATTCAGAATTTATAAGTATTTACAATGTATGTTTATTATTTTATTTTTATTCTCAGTTTAACCAAACTTAACACCAGTTATGACTCACCTGAATGGGAAAATAAGGCATGAACTACTACAAGTATATTAGCAATTGTGTTATTTTTAGAAAAACTAGATACAAATGAAGCCTTTAATTGGAGCAGCAGCAGACATATCAATTGGAAGATTAAACCTTTAATTAAATAGGTTTATTGACTGGTGTTAAAAGTGAGAACCACCACTTTTCAATAAATCTTTCAATCTCAATAAACTACCATGCTTTGAATCCTCCTTGAGTCATTAATATGGCTTTTATCTTTCATGGCTCTGAATGGATTTTACCCCAAGAGGTATAAATAACCCTATGCAAGCTTATCTCCTTGGTTTATTATCAGGTCTTTCATCATATATTTTAAGAATTACCTGTATTCCACCCTTTTTTCCACCTTCAACCAAACCACCCGTGCCCATACCCCATCTGCTTCCCCCCTTATTTTTAAATTCTTAATGTTGTTTAAAAACAAACAAAAAAACCATTAAAGGTATTCCACAGCTACTTTTAAAATTATTTGAAAATTAGTAATTGCTGGGGATTAGTTGTGTCACTATTCACTTTGCATTGACTATAACCTTTTCTCAACCAGATAATTTCATCATGCCTCATAATCATTGTCTTTTCAATTTTTATTTATTTATTTTTAAAGATTTATTTAATTATGCATATAGAACTGGGGTAGAGGCCAGAGGTACAGGGGCAGTGAGAGGATTCACCAGAGACAGAGTGGGGAGCAGAACAGGCAGACTGACGAAGTACACTGCTGAGGGGAGCAGCGGGCGGGTCAGGAGAGGACTGCAGAGCCATGTGGTCACCTCCGGGGCAGGTGGGGATCGAACTCATGCTGAAGTGGCTTTAGCTTCTTGGTGCTGTGCTTATTTAACCCGCTGCACCACCAGGGAGGGCCATATTGTTATGTCTTAAAGTTGGGAATGGACCACAGAAAATACAGCAGTTTTCTATTCTCTTATCACCTCTGTAATTGTCCAGAAGCATTTGTATTCATCTTCCACCAAAAGAGAAAACAAAACCCACACAAAAACTTGACAAAAATCTGAAGAATTAAAAGCTAACAACCAGGAAGAAAATTTTTTTTTCTCTTTATTCAAGAGAGAAAATTATTTTTTTAAGATTTATTTATGCAGACAGAACTGGGGTACAGGCCAGAGGTGAGGGGTTGGTGAGGAGATTCACCGAAGACAGAGTAGGGAGCCCAACAGTCAGATCTATGAAGTACACTGCTGAGGGGAGCAGCGGGTGGGTTTGGGGAGGTCTGCCGCTCCATGTGGGTCACCTCCGGGGCAGGAATTGAACTCATGCTGAAGTAGCTTTAGCTTCTTAGTACTGTGCTTTAACCTGCTGTGCCACCAGGGAGGGCCTGAGAAAATTATTTTAAAAGTATTTCATGAGGTCTGTTTCCAAGGCATCCTTATTATGTTTATTCTAACATAGAAGGTGCTTTCTTGCTCATTATGAACTCAGTAATCTAAGGAGATTAGTTCAAAAATTCCATTTTATAAGAATAGATATAATAAAAACACAACACAGAACTACAAATTCTTTGGGATCTGGTACTGAGTTTATTCTAAAGAAAAAACATCACTAGAACAAATTTGACTAGTGACCAAAGAAATAGCAGGATAAAGACAAAGCTAAGATTTTTTGGTTTGTATCTATAATAATAAAGACCTAAAACGTTTTTTAACTTTTGGTAGAATGTACTAATTCTGCTCTTAGTATGTTGAGCTATCAGGTCATGTAATATAATGGGAGCGATAATATTAATAAAGTTTTGAACATATGGGTATTTATTTCATATTATGCATATGAAATTCATTTTATAGCTCCATAACACAAAATAATAGGATAAAAACTTACATTTTTCTTTCCCTTAATTTTATTAATATAAATGACTTCTCAATCTTAACCAGTAAAAACGTTCTATGACAAAGGATCAATTAAGCAGTAAGCCTTAGAAATTTTGCTTTTCCCTGAAGGAAACCAGAAAGACTGTTCCATTTGTTTTGGGATATAAATGCCAGCAATTTTTTTTTAAATGTAATACTACAAACTAAGTACTTTCTCACACCAACTACAAGAAAGAAGTTAACAGAAACAGTTTTCTTTGTAACTTGACTACTCTTTGCAAACGATCCTCCTATTTTCTGGAGAATCTGACTTTCACAGTTCTTCTAGTTTTCTCTTTAACCCTTGCTAACCCTAGCTCCCTTGTCCTTCTTTTAATCTGCAGTTGCCCATTCAAATGGCTCTGTCCACACACACAACAGGTGTATAAACCGTTCTTTGTCTGAGCTTACAGCCTATGGGGCCAACCAGATAGGACCCTGTTTAATTGTTCATCTCATTAGCATACAGCTGATGGGCTGCTTCTGTTGGAGGAGTAGAAAGAAAAGGCAACATGGCACCCCCCCCACCCTCCAGCCCCTTCTAATTTCAATTATGAGGAAGAACTCCATTGCCAGAATAAAAGATCCATCTCATTAAATGACATCATCCTGCATTTGGAATTTTCACAATCTGTGTATGGCCTTACAGTTGTGGTAGCACCCAATGAGGAAGCTGTTTTCTTTTAATTTGTTCAATGGCTTTAGCATTCACAACAGAAAAATGCTAAATCCATTAGTTGATAAATAAGAGGTCTTATGAATTAAGAAATAGCTCAAATATATTTAGTGTGAATTCCTGATTCTGTTCTGGCAACAATATGTTCAACTTGTACTACTCACCAAATAACAGTGATTTAAATCAATCATTATTAAATCTATGGGCTGGTCAAAGAATCTTTATGTGTGTATAGGGATTTTACCCCCCAAACATACATTGGAATCATTGTTATGATTCCTTTTAAGTTATATTTCCACAAATATATAATCTGTATAGTTTTTACTTTTAAAATGTTATTTTTAACAATTTTGAATTTAAAAAGGTACAAAAACCCTTTAAATGTGTAATATTTTATTCTTAATGAAAATAAAAATTGTTTAACTTGTCCATGTAGGAAAAAATTGTTTAGAAAAAGTAAAATTCAGAAAAAATGAGCTAAGATTCCGTTGAAACAGGTATACACAATTAGCACATTATATAAACCTATACTAATAAAGTTAAAAATCGTCTAAATGTAAGGTTAAAATTGTTCCAAATATATTTTGATAAGTGACAAAAGTACTAATTTTACATAAAATATCATCAATTTGCCTACTCATCTATAATAACTTCATCTATTAGATTATCAGAACTGAAAAAGTTTTTCTAAATGTTTTAGAATTTCAAAGACTGATGTATGTTTTAAAACCATTATATAATTAGCTTTAAATTCTATGATTTAACATTATTTACAATTTGCTCTCATACAAGGATACCACATACTTTAAACCACAGCTTAAATAATAAGAACCATATAATACCCACCCCCAAAAAGATCAAGAAAAATGCCTGGATTAAATTTCCTTAGGACTTGTAACAAAGAAATCAAAAGATCTCATGGATGGAATTTTATACTATCTCATAAGTAAAGAACTTTTAAAGATTTGCATCAAGTTTTCATTTATATTAAAAGCTTCTAATGTAACCTAATCTGAAGAATAAGTATTTTGTGTTAAAATGTGCTATTACAGAAATATTGCATAGGGCCTTGGTACTTTAAATACTATACTCAAGACGTGATTTTATAATGCTGAGGCTTCTTTGTCAAATGAAATTAATGATTGTATTAAAGATTTCCACTGAATAACAGCAATTTTTTTCTTGCTAGCAGTTTAAGAGTTTATTCATACAATAAATAAATGGGGCAAAATTAAAGTTCAATGATGACATTTCAATAGTTCTAAAATCATAGCCTTTGTATACTGAAATTGAAAGATACATGAAACATCAGTAAGAGTGTTTGGATCTAGTCTAAGCCTTATATTTGCAACAAACACATATGGAGAAATAATAAAAAATACTGAATGGTAACAGGAAAATTTTAGTAAATAAGTTATGTTAAAACTTATTTAAAAATAAGAGCAATTATTAAAACTGCCAGGCTGGGGACACTAAATACATAAAATAGAGCAAATTATTCATTTCCTGGTTTCTTTCTCTGGTATAATAATCCTTTAGGAAATTAACTTTATGTTTATCTTATGTAGCTAAAATGTAAAAAAAAAACTTTCTGCAATTGAACCCACTTTGAATTCTGAACTTTGATGTCAATCAAGTCTTTGAATTTAGTGTAGCTTTAAAAAAAAGTTAAAATTAAATCGTTTGATATTAACTCATTAACATACATTTTGGCAGGTCTTATCTCCTTGGTGTGAAATGTAAAAATCTTTTTCCGGAACCACTAAAAAATGCTAGAGAATTATTTCATCTATGAGACAAAGAGACACATAATCTACAAATTAGTGTGTCACTTGCAAGCAATTTCTTTGACCAAGGACATTGTTTTGGTTATCCTGTCCATATAGACTTGACACCACAACTAATCTTGATAAGCCTTACAAGGTGGGTAGAGACTGTCTCTGTTACCACTTTGATCCTGCAATCAATTCTTTTCTGCTCTCTGTCCATTCTGGCTTACATCAAATGTTCCAACTACTTCAAGAAAACTCTTGAACTTCATGGAAATAAAATAAGCAAAAAGTTATAGGTTTCAAGAAAAAGAGAAACAACTAATTCATTTTCTGCACCAGTAAACTAATTTGCTTTCTAAAAAAAGATAAAGGGACAGGCCAAGTCTTGTGCTGCCCTTTTTTTAAAGAACAAATTAAAAAACCTGTTTTTGTAAATAAAGTTTTATTGGAACACAGCCACACTCATTTGTTTCCAATATATGTAAGGTTGTTTTCCTGTTAATAATACCAGAGTTAGGGTAATTTTGACATAGACCATATAGGTTGCAAAGTTGAAATACTATTTGAATATTCTGTGGAGGCCCTGAAATAGAAATTATGTTTGTTAGAATAATCCTACACTATAGAAAATTCGTGTTATGATGACAATTAAATATTTTTGAAAGAAGTGGAATTCATTATCATACAAAGTAAATACAGAATTACTGACAAATTAACATTTGCAACTTTGATCAAAGTTGCAACTTTGATCACATATAATGTGGCCTTTACTACATTCTGTAGCTTGGTGTTTTTACTGAACAGAATTGAGGAGTTAAAGCTAAAAGATGAGGGGCCTCACTGGTGGTACGAGGGGTTAAGCCTCAGCACTATGAAGCCTCAGCACTATGAAGTAACTACAGTTACTGTAGCACAAGTTCAATTCCCCACCAGAGAGCTGACACACAGTGCAGCAGATCTCCCTTGTCTCATCTGCTGCTCCCCGCAGCAGTATATTTCAGAAGTCCACCTGTTCTGTCCCTCACTCTACAGCTGGTGAATCCTCTCATACCCTGCCCCCCAGTTCTTGTATGCATAAACAAATCTTTACAAAAAAGATAAAAGGTGAGATGGGAGATAACTAGTGACTTACCTGTCAGATTTTGTCAGTTAATAACTCTACAATTTGGGGGTAAATTTGGTAGGAACATGTGCATCTCTATCTCCACTAAAGATTTTGTCTGGGTGGGTTGGACAGAATAGACAATGTATGGCAGATTTTCATCATCTCTTTGTCCTCTAAGGTTATAAGAATGAAGGGATGACTGTTAGACACATGAGTAATAGTTTAGGCTTAGCCACTGAAACATTGATGTTACAGCTTGGACTAAGTCAAATTCATCTCTCATTTCAGAAGACTCTTATTCTAGAGCATGTAACAAGAAGGTACTTTCTTAATGGAAAGTTTCAGGGTACCACTGAAGGAAACAATTTTTCCTTCTACAGGTCTTTTAAAATGCACTAAGTTTTGGGCTTTCCCTGGTGGCACAATGAATTAAAGCACCACATTGTGAAGCTCTCCGAAGCCACTGCAGCACGGGAGCTGACCCACATGGCGTGGCAGACCTCTTCTGACCTGCTCACTGCTATCTTCAGCATTGTACTTAGTCAATCTGCCTGGTGTGTAACCCGCTCTGTCTCTGATGAATCCTCTCACCCACCACACTTCTGGCCTATGCCCCAGTTCTGTAAGCATAAATAAATCTTTAAAACAAAAATGCACTAAGTTTCTACATGGCTTTGGCGGATTGGACTTTGAAAAGTCTCATTTCCAACTCATATCCTACATTGGTAAGACTAGCTCCAAAAGACAGAAGTTAATTTTAAACAGATTCTACATTTAAGCGGCACATAAACTGAAATAGGAACAGTGAGCTATTAACAGTGAAGAATTGAAAAATAACTAAGAAGTGAGGAGTAAGAAATGAAAATATTACATTTGAGACAAATTTGGGATTTAAATATACTCATTTTCAAGGCAGTCTTCTAAATAAGGTAAATAGCATTTAAAAAAATATAGCTGGAATCAACCCAATGCCCAAAAGCAGACGACTGGATTAAAAAGATGTGGTACATATACACAATAAAATATTACTCAGCAATCAAAAAAGATAAACTCATGCCTTTTGCAGCAACATGGATGGAGCTGGAAGGGATCATGCTTAGTGAAATAAGCCAGAAAGAATAAAATACCAGATGGTTTCACTCATAGCAGGGACATAAAGAACCAGGGGGGAAAAAAAATAATGAACAACTATGTACCAGAGACATTTTATGGGAGTGGAGTGGGGGCGGGAATCAAAAATGGGGGGAGGAAGTGCATGGGAATATGGTGATGGCACACAGGTAAATTGGTGATGGGAAGTCCACAGGGACTGCAGCTGAAATGGAAAAAATAAAGAAAAAAAAGTGTAATTGAGGGGCCTCCCTGGTGGTGCAAGGGGTAAAGTGCAGCACTATGAAGCTATCCAAAGGTACTGTAGCACAAGTTCGATCCTGGTCAGGGAGATGACCCACACATGGTGCAGCAGACCTATCTTGCCTGATGTTCCCCACAGCAGTGTATTTCAGCAAATACGCTGTTCCCCACTTTGTTTCTGGTGATCCTTCCCCCCAACTCCAACCTCTGACCTGTACTCCAGTTCTTGTATGCACAAATAAATCTTAAACAAAGTATAATTAAAACCTTTAATTCATAGTCTACATTATTTGTAATGTACCTAATATAATTATTTTATTATTACTGAGTGAGAAAAACACTTCCTTATATTTCTATGAATTTGACAATTCATAAATGTTTTCACATTTTTTAGCTTATCACTAGCAACAAAAATAACTTAATGGGCCTCCCTTGTGGCACAGAGGATTAAAATGCAGCACTATGAAGTTACCCAAACCTACTGCAGCACAAGTTCGATTCCAGGCCAGGGAGGTGACCCACATGGTATAGCAGACCCCTCCTGCCTAGCCTGCTGCTCCCCTCCTCAGCAGTTTGTTTCAGTCAATCTGCCTGTTCTGTCTCCGACTCTGTCTCTGGTGAATCTTCTCATCTCCCACAGTTATGACCTGTACCCCAGTTCTTATAAGCATTAAAAAAAAAAAAAGCTTAAAGGGGATCTGAATTTTAAGATATCTGACAATTAAAAACAAACAAACAAACAAACAAACAAAACCCAAAGCCTGATCGTTGAGATATGCAGACATTTGATGTCACCCAGGTTGCTGAAAACTGTTCTCAGGAAACCAGGCAGCCTTGTTTGAAGTTAACCTCAGTGGCTCCAAAATTAATATAAATGGCTGTCTGACATATGAATGTGAAAATCTGGAATCAATCCTATTTTACAGAACACAGCCGTCAGCATTTTGGGGCACCTAAGTATTTTGATGAAAGGTAAGTTTTACCCTTGATCACATGGCACAGAGCTAGAAATCTGCTTCATAAGAGAATACTTACAACATGCAATGAATCCTAAAAACAATCCTACCATAAACATGCAAACACATGGCATCAGTTAAATAGCAGGTTCAAAAAGAGCTTCTTTTCTTGAAAAGACAATGTGGATAAAAAAATATAAGACACATTCATTATAGAATTTTTGATGTGCATGGCTGTAGAATTTCATTTTTTTTCCCCTTCTAAGGAATTTTTTTTTTTAAACGTGGTTGAATTATTTCATTCTCTTTGGGGATTAATCTAAAATTGTTTCCTTTCATTGTCACCTAAGTTATAGCCAATCTTAATACTACACTACATTCTTTTTCACTTGGGAAAAAGCTTACATTTGGACCTGTACAAATAGTTTCACATTACTCCTGCTTTTGAAAGCTAGTTACAAATTATAATAAACAGTTTTGTAGACCAAAATTCTCGAGATTCATTTATGCTGTACTGCTTTTTCTATTTATACTTTCTATACTCTATTTCAAGACAAAAACTGTTACACACCTCGGGAAAAAAACCAAGTTTAAGTTAAAATGATCTTTGTAGTAAGTTTTTACTTTTGCATATGATCATAGGAGGATTTTAAAGACCAGAATTCAGTCAATGATGCCACGCAAGTCATTAAAGGAAATTAAAAGTTACTCTACCTTCCTTTCAAAAAAAGAGGACTTTCTCCACAGATTTCATGAAGAACATTTAGGATAGTAGGCTGAGAGGTTATTAAAACAACAACAACAACACCACTATTTTACCATTGAAGCAGATCTACTGCTTGTAACAAGGCTTGATCCACCATAGTTTGAATTGAGGCTTGCAATGGGTGCATTATGTGATGGTCCCAATAAACTGTGTATATCACTGTGACCAGCAGGCAAACTGGTGGAAGGTCCCACAGCGTGGTTTCGCAACACATGGATAGCATCATCTAGTCTGTCTAAACGGTCCTCCATTCGAGATTGCTGGAGGGATTGAAAAAGACATTGAGGTTATTGCTATTATCTCTCAAATTTATTAAACTGCTATGTTTCCTACTTTGGGACATACAGAAAACAGAAAGTGAAATAAACTATCAAGTAGCTTCAAAGCAACTACCTGCACTACAAATCAACAAAGAAAGGGTATATAAAGGTTGTGATAAATTAATACAGCTTTAGAAACAAATCACTACACTTTATAATATCAATTTACCAATCTACCATGAGGTTATTTCTTTTAGTTTCTACAAAAGATGAAGGTTTCTCTATTGTGTATGATACACAATTTAAAAAAAGTTGATTAAAAAGATAATCTGTACTTTAACACTAATGTTTGAAATGGCAATTTTGGGGGAAGCACCTTCAAATCAATCAAGCTTAAGGTACAATTCTGTTTGCATACTTATCTTAAATGGTGAACACATTCAAGTATGTTCTTTCACAAAACTGAGGAACTGATATTAACTGTCTGTGGATACACACATGCCTCATACACAAACATATTAGAATTTTTAAAATCAAAAGCACATGCCAGTAGAGCTCTCTTACAAAGAAATTATTCTCAACAACATCAGAGAACAAAAGTCTATTCTTACATACTGTTATAGAAACCGAAATGGTCATTGTTTGATTTTAAAAGACTGTGGAGTCTGTATAGGCTTCAAGATTTTAAATGGATAATAGGAAGTATAATTGATTGAAACACAAAAAAGGCACCATCTAAAAGAAATAGTACCTCACAGACATCCTTTAAGAAGGACATTGCATCTTGCAAATGCTCGTGAAGTTGCTGCTCAACTCGATTTTTCTGGCAAAGTCAAGACAGAACAGGAGGCAAAGCACAGGTTAAGATTAACTCCAAAAGAGATGAGGAAATAGCTGATGTGCATGTCAGCATAACATGTTAGTACAGTTAACGTGGAGACCTGTGAGATCTACTTGTATTAAGGTATGAGAAGGCTGGGATTTAACAGCGAAGTTATTAGGTTAGCATTTACACAGCACATATTGTTTATATTTGCTTGCAAAATATGTGAGAAGAAAATTTTCTTTGAATTTACAATACCCTGTTAGTCACAAAAAAGAATTTTTTATAACCTAGAATTACTGAATGATGGCATGACTTAGCATTCCATCAACTCATCCTTTTGTTTTTTATAATACTTTGTAATTCTGAGGTAAGCATGGAAAACCAACAGTAGTCAACATTCTGTCACAAATTCTTCATACTTGTTAAGAACCATTCATTTATACAATCTGCACATGTTCTTTTTTTATTCAAGAAATATGGGAAATAACACTTCATGACAAAATAATTTGTTATATTTTAAATTTGCAATGAAAATGCTATAAACTATACACAATATCAAGCATAAGAGAAAGCAAAAATGCAACCCATTTTGCTTTGCTGGACTAATTTTCTTGCTTTTACTGTGTGTGTATATTTAATGTTTTAAAGTTTCCTCTTACATTTAAAAGTATAGAAAAATTAAGCCCAAGATTTACCAAAGAAACAAAAATCTCCTAACACAATTTTAATACCAGCTGTCCCAAGATCAGAAACCTGATGTCTCAAAGAACAGATGGCAAAAGGCACATCCAATGTGTCTTACATTGTTCATCTAAATCAGGCCACTTGTTACCAAAGAATTTGTGTGTAATACTATCCTGTTTTTTTTTTCATGGTTACACAAGATTTACTGGGGGAAAAAAAGCCTCCAAACTATGAGATAAAGTGACCTGTATGTCCCTAAAAGGCTCTTACCAAGGAGTGGAGTGAGTTTTCATAGCTAGGAGATGAAGGAGCTTGCCCTCCAGGTCTGGGCCACTGGCTGGTACCTGTTGAAACAAAACCCAAAAGCACCCACACATCTTGTTAACACAAAGATCTTGATAAGGATGTGAAGGAAGGGGTAAAGATATTCAATAACTACCTAAGTTTATGTGAAATATTTTGTTCAGTCTTTTGCATAGTACTGGCTATATCTAAAACAATTGTTTTTATTATTAATACAACAGTGTAGGGAACTGAGAATACAGAAAAAAAGTACACTTTAAAATGCAGCTACCTTTTTGTTTACTTAGTCTACAAATCTTGTCTATATGCACACATATCTTGAGAAAATATACTGAAAAATACAAAACTTAAAATACTGTTCCTCTCCTATGTCTTACAGTCTTTTTGATAATGTTATTAAGGACTACATTAATATTCACTACATCATAATTTGCTTAGCTACCATTACCTTACTGATGGACATTTTGGTTGCTTTCATTTGGTTATTATGAATAACTGAATTTACTATAATATAAACAGTAAACTATTACTTTTTTTGTTTGTAAGTCTTGAAGATAAGTAGCATTTCCAAAATCAAAAGGTATGAACACATTTATGACCCTTAATTCATAAGGTGAAAAATAGCTCTACTAAAGGGTCATATTAATGTGCATCTTTATTAATAGACAGATGCACTAATTTTAAATTACTGCAAATGCATTTAGGACTATCTGTTAAAAAGCCACCATCATAATCTATACACCAAACCACATGATTTGATTTGGCATACAGCATTATAAAATTTTTATTAAATGTTTCTTTATTCTTCAGAAGAGTAGCAAAAACTAAAGTTCTAAGAAGAAACATGGATATTCAGATTAGAAAGACTATAAAAGGAAAAAAAATCATAAGTAGTAGAATGAATTCATTCATCATTTTCCAAGGTAGGGAAGAATGGTAGAGAGGTACTTTCTATAATTATTTCGTATCAGTACTAGTCAGTTTCAAGAAAATTTACTGAACCATAAACTCCCACTGCCAAGAATGGGATTAGATCCTTTTAGGTATGAATTATTACAAAAGTCAAAATTATTTAAGTACAGAAGTATTATGCTATCCTTATTATGCTAATGTTGTTTTAATGTTCATTACATTAGAAAATAGATTAATTTCGAATCATTCCTAACTAAGGAAGAATAAAATTGGAGGTCTATACATCTTATGTCTAAATATTTAAAAGTTTTAAAATATGTTCTATTCACCTTCATAGAGAGTTTGAATTCTTAGAATCCATTACCAGAATGTCATGGCATAAAGAGAGCAGCCTAGAACGCTGGCCCACCCCAAAATTGTGGTGGTGATCCTCTAAGGTTGCCAAACATATTAAGGAGACCATCCCAACCCTGGGTTCAAGTTCTATTCACTTCTCTGCATCAGGGACTTCTCAGGTCTTGAATTTTGCACCCCAACAGATAAGTCCCCTGTCAGGAGTATGATGAAATTCTTATAGCTTCTAATGGGATTCTGGAATTCTGGTTACCCAGAGGCAGTTCAGATGCAGGAAGAAGTGGCCTGGGTGGATTAAAGCAGGACATTCTAATGCATGTGACCCGGGGGCGGGTGATATTGAATAATAGGTACAATTTAGCAACCAGAAAAATAATCCAGTAGCTGACTTCATGACAAATTCATAAAAAAAAAAGCAACCAGACAACACTTTGGGTTTCAATACATTAATGTAAGCACTGATGCAAATTACAAATTTTTATGTGGATGAAGTTAATCATAATTAACTTTGAAAAAGGCTAAATTATGGTCAAAAGTTTCCTTCAATGTTTGTAATACTTTATTTCAATCATTTTACTTTATCTCTTCAAACCTTCTTTGAATGATCCGCCTGTGACAGTAACTCAGGTAAGAAATCACTTATATTCCTTATTTTTCAATAATGACAAACTATCTTCGATATTAGTTAATTAGAATGAAAAAATACACATATATTCAACTCTATTTTGCTTTCATTAAAGACTGGGCATTCCCCATTGTGATATACATGGTTAAAATAGAATACTAACATGGTTAAGACACTAGTACCTGATTGAACCTCAAGAACATGATAATTTTATTTCATGAACAAGGCTCCTTGATCCTAATGCAGTCATTAAAAAAAATGATGTTATTGGTCATGAAGGGGATGGCTATAGAGATGTTGAGTTCAGCAGAAGTCAATCCTATGGCCGACAAAACTGAAGGGGGAAACGGAAGTTTAGCAGACATGGACCCTAGAAACTATGTGAACCTGCATCCTGGTTGATCTAAACTACCAAGTAATTCTGTGCAGTCTGATTATAAATTTTTTGTTTTGTTTCTAATTTCCTTTAAAAGATGACTTAATGAAGTAAAAGAGATATGAAAGCATTCAGTTCAAGAACCTAGAGGTCTCTCTGTTTATGGGACATTAATATCTCTTCATGATGGCAGACACGTAATTAATGAAGGAAAAAGATAACATGAATATTCACATATATAGAGCTTTTTGAGTTTAATGTCCCTTCTGTGATGTAAGTATAAGCTTTCAGTTATTTATATTGGAAAAAATTTCTGTAACAGTCCTGGGTTTTTAAAACAATGACCTCAGATGTTAGCTATTATTCAAGGAGGAGTATAAAATTTATTGAATATTGCCAGAAAACAAGATTGCTTGAGTGATAGGATAAGAGAAACAAATTATTTGGCTAGAAGAGGGCTGTGTTTGATCATTACACCTAACATTCACCTATACTTCTGATCTACTCTCACTTTGAGTAAACTTCATAATTACCTCATTTAAGAAATTTGGTTAATAAACAAGACACTGATATTTTGAGTGGCTGAGAGAAATTCTTAGAATCATTCACCATGCATTTCCTTAGTTTGGTAGTTGGTCATTGTTTCCCTCTATAGTCTCATACCAAACTCAAAATTTCATGAGATCCCCATGCTTGGGAAAGTCCAGATAATTCTTCTTTTTTTAAATCACTTTTATTTACTTCTGCATACAAAAACTGGGGTATAAACCAGAAATGTTGGGATAGGAGTGGTGAGAGCATTCACTAGAGTGGGGAGAAGCAGGCAAGAGCCACGTGGGTTAACTCCCTGGCTGGGGATCCAACTCATGCTGCAATGGTTGGTGAACCCCTCCACCAGGAAGGCCCAAGTTTGGATAATTCTTAACATAGCATTGAGTGTTTTGCTTTTCAGAATCTGGCTCCAGCCAACCTCTCCTTAATGATTCACATTTTCATAAGAAGAGTTCATAATCACTTATCTCAATGATTCTGGATTAGTAGCTCATGTATTTTCTTAAATTTAATCTTTTTTATACTCTTCCCTTTATTCCCCTAAAGTGCTTTCCTTCTCTAAAATACCTCTTCAGGGCCCTCACTGGTGGTACAACAGGTTAAAGCACAGCACTATGACAAAAAAAGCACCCACTTCACGAGTTCAATCCCTGGCCAGGGAGGTGTCCCACATGGCGTAGCAGACCTCTCCTGACCCACCCGCAGTTCTCCTCAGTGTTGTACTTCATTGATCTGCCTTTCCTGCACCCTACTCTGTCTCTGGCGAATCCTCTCACTGTCCCTGCACCTCTGGCCTATACCACAGTTCTGTATGCATAAATAACTCTTTTAAAAAATCTCTTCATGGCCCTCCCTGGTGGCGCAGCAGGTTAAAGCACAGCGCAAAGAAGCTTAAGCCACTTCCGCATGAGTTCGATCCCCGCCTGCCCCGGAAGAGATCCACATGGCGAGACAGACCTCTCCTGACCTGCCTGCTGCTCCCCTCAGCAGTGTACTTCATCGATCTGCCTGTTCTGTACCCCATTCTGTCTCTGGTGAATCCTCTCACAACCGCATCTCTGGCCTGTACCCCAGTTCTGTATGAATAAATAAATAAATCTTTAAAAAAAATCTCTTTAAGAAGTCTACAATCTAATTTAAAAGTGAATTCCAATGTTTCTATTTTCAACTGTTTGCCTCTCTTTTTTTTCAACCAGACCAAAATCTTGCTAAAGTCAGGTAATTGCTTTACTATAACTTACAATGACAAAAATAAATTTTTCACTAATTAAACTACTCAAAACTGAAAAATTGTTCTTTCCTTCTCAATATCCTTATTTATTTTTACCATGGGTGCTATGAAGGTTGTTACTGAGCAATGTCAATTAGTAAGCTTTTATTCATTTATATTCTAGAAGAAATGCAAGAGATTATTTCCTTGTCTGTTTTCCAAGATCCCTTAGTAAATATATTCTCCTAATTGAAATGCTTCATGCTTCTCTTCTACCTTGCTGCTAGTCTTAATTTTGTTCAGAAGGAAGAGGGTCCATCCTTTTCTAATGTGGAACAGGAAAGAGTAATTTTAGTCTTAGTGCTTAGAATATATATCCTAAGAACTAAGATAAAACAAGATGGTCCTAATTCTGTTGTGAGAAATGTCATTATTTAGACAAAGTGTTGGCAAATGAGGCATGAGGAGAAACTTGTTTAATAGACTTTTGGAAAAAAATTCTTAAAGGACAAGGAAAAATAATTCTTTTTCTATTAGATATTGTTATGTCCACATATGGCTAATCTGAACTGCTGTCTTGATACCATTCTGAGGGAGAATTTCAAGAAAGTAGAAAAGGAACCCTGACATGCTAATTGAGGAACTTGCACTACCAAGGGCTTCCTATCATACCAAAATAACCAATCCCCTTATTACTTAAGCCACTGGAGACAGCGTTTCTTCCTTTCACCTAAACTATCCTAACTGGTATAAATCATTACCTCAGAAACTCTCATAAGCACTTTCAAAATAAAAATGAAAATTCCTGGGCCCTGCCCAGTAGTGCAAAAAGTTAAAGCACAGCACTATGAAAGCAATGCGCAACCTCTACAGCATGAGTTCGATACCCTGCCAGGGGTCATAGGGTGTGGCAGACTCTCCTGCCCACTGCTCTCCTCAGCAGTGTATCAGTCAATCTGCCTGTTCTGCTCAACACTTTGTCGCTGGTAAATCCTTGCACCCACTGTACCTCTGGCCTGTACCCCAGTCCTGTACGCATAAATAAATCTTAAAAAAAAAAATCTTATAAAAATGTATATTCTTGACCTAAAAGTTTCTCAAGAAAAATGAATTTGATTTTAACAAGGATGATGATTACCTTGGACACTGCCTATGTGTCTTTAGAACCTATGTATTTACTCTTACAAAGCCTACGTTGAGTTTTACACTCAGGCGTGGGGAATAGGACAAGTGAAGATAGTATTTTGTACAGTAGATAATAAGCCATTATCACATAAGGTATGAAATAATTTCCAAATGTTATAAAAGAACTGTTGTTACATTTTCCATTTTTTTTTTAAAAACTGCAGATACTTTAGTATAGAGTGCTTTTTCCCCTCCCAACCCTACCCTCCTTTATTTTTCTGCCTTGCCAAACAGGGGTATGTGTACACATGCAAAAAGGAAACACTACAAGCAGGATATGGGAGAATGGGGGCAATGTATGCATAAAATTAGTCTTTGATTTACCTTTTCAGCAGGAGTATGTGAAAGTATTTTCTCAGATTATGACTGCTGAATTGAAAAAACCTATTAAAACCTTTACTGCATAATTCAGTAGTCTACAGATTTTCACTAATCATCTGAATGAAAGGGGAAAGGAAGATTATTAGCTTACTAACCATCACATATAGACAAGGAGGAAATGTAAGGTTTTGCTTTGGACTTTTGTTTTTTTTGGGGGGGGGGGAAGAAATGTCGAAATCTATGATTTTCCATTTTCTATACATCCCTTCATAAATGCTGAGCTCCTCATATTTGCTTTCCCACTCAGGGTTAATAAAAACCAAAGGATACTTTTGAGGCTATCTTACTGAACAGATTAAGGAAAGACAGTGAACATATATTAAGGCCAATATAACTACCTCAGAAGAGAAAGATAACTGATAATTTCAGTAAAACTGTATAAAGCAGAGTTCAAGTTACACCATTCTTCCTGCAGTTTCAGCTCTCAACTTTAAGTCAATGGGTCTTTCATAGTCCTGTCTATGTGGGGAACAGCTGTGCAACTTTTACTAGACAGCTGAAGTCATGGTGTCTGAGAAAGTGGCAGAACCCACTAGTAGCTGACAGCAGCTGTCAACAGTTCATCATCTCCACACTGGAATGTTCTTAGTAGAGGCACAAGTCTAATACAAAAAGCACACGTGATAGCCAGGGTCCTGATGACCTGAGCTCTGATTTTCAGAAACTCTAAACAAGGCAAAATAGTTTAATGATAATAATAACAACAGGTCAACTAACATAACTAATCGCTTCATCATAAGAAAATTTCTAGGGTGAATTATTAGAGAAACAAGGTAACTTTTACCCAGTTCTATATTATCTTTTCCTCAGGACTAATAAATTTCTTCTTCAGCACGGTTTTTCTCCATATACTACTTGGAAATATGTATTTCAAGTTTTATAGTTAAAGAGATATTAAACATTTCAGTTTTATTGTACTTTCATTTATTGTTAATAAATCTAAAAATTCTTGTTTACTAAACAATCTAGATACTGTAAGACAGTATCTAGAACATGTTAAAGGTAATGTGGAAAAGGAGAGGAAAAAGTAAGCAAACCCAAACCATTACTGAACTCCACTAATTAACCCATATTTCCATATTTGTAGTTCTTTTTAGCAAAAAA